CATGAAGACCATGCCAATGAAGAGCCGTCCCTTCTCCACTAGGAAGATTGTTAATAACCTCAACTTCGATTGTGTCTCCTTCACATACCTATGATAATTAATAATCATCATGACATCACATCATAACCATATATAGGCACATCATGACTATATATGGGCATGCAACAGTTTTTTTGCAAATAAAATGTGATAGTAAAAACTAACAACACTAACAGTAATAGAAAAACATACCTAAAGTTAAATTTATTCGAATAAATAAGGTATATAAAAATGACAATTAGGCCGAATAGACAAATTCGATAAAAAAAAAATCAGAATTAAAAAAATCCTCGATCAGTTAATTTCATTAGTCAACTATAGAGTAAATACTGTATTATTCTTTAAAAGTATATAAAGCAAATCGTACCTCAATACTAGGCCCTGGAAACTGTTTGTTTGCGACAAGTATGCCTCTCTTTACGCCATTGAGTGGTATACAATCCGGTGATTTGCAATGCGTTAAATTGAACGGACAATCATAGCACGCTTTAGACATAGAGTAATACCAATCTATGGTAAAATTGAAACGGCAAACCGCAGGTTCGGCCGGCCACTTGCATTGGCGTTTGCAATCAATCCCATTCAATGAGTATGTCCCTGAACCTGTTAAAAATAATGGGTTAACATTAAACGCAGTGACGTAAAATCACTATCGCTTTAAAAATCGTAGGCCTACAGCCTGGTTTCCGTAAAATCATCGCTAAACTGTCACTACAGTGTTTTCAGTGCAATCGTCGTACTGCATAGCAATCCCCGACGCAATCGAGAAGGCTCCCCGATTCGACCGACCAATCAGCATCACCGAAAGCTGTCGGCAATAGTGTGTAGCGATTTTATGGAAACCAAGCCTAAAGAATGCAAAATCAACGATCTTTTAAAATATTTTATCATCTTCAAAAGGTTTAATACTGTAACATCATCTAGCCTCCTATTCTTTTGATTGAATCTTCGTAACATGTGGCGCAGGTGGGGTCCGAGGGAGTTTGTAAAATCGATTAAATAAACCTTTCAAATCGCCCTTTACCCCTTTCTGGGCAGTAACTGGTCACTCCCATAAACGCTCTTGCCGAGAACCCCCCAAATCTGACCCCAAATCCTGGCACCACCCCCCAATTCATAGGTGAAATACACATTTCAATTAAATATTTTAAAATTAATTTCACTCCGAACCGTGTAAAAATGCATAAATTCGAAAAGATCAGTTTTGTTGAACCAAAGGGTATTGAAACTTTAACAAAGTTAACCCTACGGTTTGATCATTCTTACTAGATATTATTTTTGGATTTTCATTAAATAACGGAATTAAATAAATACCTGATTGTAGGCATATTCTTTGTTTGATGATATGTATTTGATGATATGTATTTGAGATGATATGTATTTGAGAGCAGCTTAGCTCAGTCGGATAATCTGGTGGTAACCACTGTGTGTGCGCTGAACCGTGGAGATCTCTAGGTCCCCGGTTCAATTCCCATCGCTGCCTCTCCTTGTGTTTCAGCTAGAGGGCTGAAATACAAGTTACATAGCGCACCGTCTTTCGGAGGAGACGTTTAAGCCGTTGGTCCCGTGTGCATTTATGGCCCATGTGCACGTTAAAGAACACAGTACACTCTTCGGAAAAGAGCAGGGGATTGTCTCCCGGTGTATTGTCTCCCGGTGTATTGTCCAATCACCACCAGAAGGACCCCACTGGAAACAAGTCTTCTTCTAGACTTTCGTGGGCTATCCTTGGTGTTTACACCGAAATCCATGAACTTAAGTGGCGAAATCCCCAGTCACTTGTGGTATTTCCAAAGATATGGAAGACTTATGAAAAATTGTAAAGCTTGGTTTCCTTAACATCACTACATTGTCGCTACAGTGTTTTTAGTGCAATCGTTGTACTGCGTAGCAAAGGCTCCCCGATTCGACCGACCAATCAGCATCACCGAAAGCTGTCGGCGATAGCGTGTAGCGATTCTTTGGAAACCAAGCTTTAGACGATCAATGAAATTTACCTAGTTTTGCTTGTAATACTTGGCTAACCAATATCCCAATAAATATGACATTTGCTCTCATAGTTCTTGTTGCCTTCCGTCGATGCGTTTGGTTAAAGGACGTGTCTTCTATTGATAAAAAAAAACAAAAAAAAAAAACAATGAATGTGGTTTAGCTAAAATTATTTCCAGTTCTGGCTATAGCATGAAGCAAATGAAATTTGGAGGGCTCAACAAATTTAGCTCGTAGCCTTAAAAAAGAAAACAAAAACAAAAACCTAGAATTCAAAAAGCTTTATTTGTAGTTTGTGCTGCATTGCAAGATTATTGTTATCTAAAATACTTGAACCTGGAAGTGACAATAAAAAAAAACTCCCTTAAAGTTCAAGGCTGCTTATTGTTAATGCCGCCTAGCACAGTTAATCTTTTTAGTGTTTTCAGGCTCAAAATGTTCTTATTTTGTTCTTAGTTTACACACCTTTTAAACAAAAAAATATTTAATTGTACGGCAGTATGCACTGTACTGGAATGTAGGTGAAAGTGACCCCGCAAAAAATGGCCCCCAAGTCAGATAGGTACACCTACTGTACTGTATAATAGAGGATATTACAGACACAGCTACTGCACATAAATGTACAGTATAATATTTTGGTTTTTAAAAATATAAACCTCATTTAAAATTTTACATCAGCCTCAATTTGTTCTTATTTTGTTCTTAATTTTTTAGCAATTTCAGCCTCAGTGTTCTTATAAAATGTGTTCTTATAAAAAAAACATTGTATAAAGTTAACGAAAAAAACTTATTGACAATATGGCAGATATATAACCGTAACATTGAGACGTTTATATATCTGCCATCTGCACCTAATAATGCAAAAGAAAATAAGTACTTTTATTAGAATGATGCACAAAATTATTTATGATTTTATATGATATATATGGTTATACCCACAAGAAAGGTATACACAAAATGAGAATTATCACCTAATAATGCAAAAGAAAATAAGTACCTTTATTAGAATGATGCACAAAATTATTTATGATTTTATATGATATATACGATTATACCCACAAGAAAGTTATACACAAAATGAGAATTATTGACCTTTTCTATTGTGTGCAATATTCACCTTATCCTTTGATCTTAACTGTTTATCGTGTTTTAGGGTCAGCTGACTCTTTTGAGTTACAGTAATTTATTTGCTTTAGCTGTCCCTGACCATCGTGTTATTGTTTCTTGTTGTCGTTGTGCCTTTTAAAGTTTGCATGGTCGAATACATAAACGAAAATGAAATGAAGCAACAATTTATGCACTGGATGTAAATAGCCAATGAAATACATCATTTTGTTGATTGCAAAGAGGCTAAAATATTATTTGAAATTTATTTTTTTAAACAAATTTAACTTTGATTATTTACCAGCTTTTTCCAGCAGCTTGATACAAAAACAAAACATCTAAATAAAATATCCAGTCTTGGAAAGTTTTGATTATATAAAGAACGTACTTTAAACTATATTGGTAAATGGAAATTAAAATCCGCATCAAAGAAATCAGGTATTGAGTAAGATATATTGCGATTATGAGAATTATTCAGCCACGACTGACTTTTTTTTATTATATACATATGTATATGTAAATTAATTCATTTAGTAAGGTATACAAATTGTACATTAACATTTTTTATAAGTTTTTATAATTTCATAAAAATGTGCAAAATGATTTAAAGTTGATTATGATTGTATAAAACACATGAATGCAGAAAATCATAATTTGTGAACGGATTAAAAAGAAAAATTGAAGAAATAAAAATGGATTTAACCCCCCCCCCCCACTTAAATTAAGAAAAATGTTAAATGATGTTGTCTTTCGTGAGGAAATGTATTATGAAAATATATAATCCAAGTTAAACTTTTGTATTAAGTACCACTACACACACAGCATAGATCGCCATCAAAAAATTACAGAAACAAATCTTTTGCCAATGTATATTTAGAGTGCCAGATGGCAGGGTGGCAACGGGCCTAGGTGGCAAATGATCGGGTGGCAAGAGGCCGGGTGGGAAAAGGTCGGGTGGCAATAAATGCGAGATGGCAAAAGGCCGGGCGGCAACGGATCAGATGGCAAGTGACACAGGAACCCACTCGCAGGTTGAGCCCAATCACACTTATTAGGCCGGCCTAGGGCCGGCCCAGGGTCGCCTTAAATTACGGCCGACTCAACTTCATTTCCGTTCACATTATTGTTTTAAGTCGGCCCAGGGCCGCCTTACGGACGTTCACACTTCTTCTTTTGGGACGGGTCGATGAATTTCAGGACAGGAAGTTGAGGCGGTCGCATTTTGATGGCGGAACGGTAAATCACAACCTAGCATAAGCACATGGAATTCGCGCGAAACATGAACCTAATTTCAAAAATTGTCCTTATACTTTTTCGATTTTTTAAGCGGATAACATTCTGCTTCATGATTATGGCGACGATAATTCTTATAATAACCAAGGCCTATAATTAGCGCAGCTCGACTTTACTCTGTGCAAAGCCAGACTCGCGATTTCGAAAGTCCATACCTGTATATTGTAAACTGTCGATATAGGCCTATGTTGCTGTCAATGTTTGGCCACAGACCGGAGACACTGATTGTGAATAAGTAGCATCGAGATCTATCTATTTGGCAATTATAATTTTCATATTAGGTTTATTCACAAACAATTTTTGACGCTTTTTAGAACCAGCTTCGCTCATAACAAAAACAAACGATTATGATTTTTTCTGTCCTCGGGGTCACGTGAGTAGCTTCACGAACGTCGACACAAAACGCACGTGGTTGGTGAGGATGACGTTCACAGAAAAAATGATACCACTATACAGTGTTATAATTTTAGAATATAAACTTGTTAAATTAATGTGTGCTATACAAAAACGGGGTTTCTTGAGCTTGTAATAAGCCAATATATTTTTTATCTACTGGAATTCTTTAACTGTAGAAAAGAAAGTCGTCATCTGTCAAACTGCCCATGCGTAAGCTTTGTATCACGTTGTATTCCCAATGCCTACAACTTGGTTTGTGATTATGCTTACGCTTCGCACGGAGGCTGTGAATAATAATTAGTTATGCATGGAGATCTTATATAAAAACTTTTATTCAAAAACAATAGTTCAACTAAATACAAATTACTTTACAGTTTCCTTAACAATTTTATTTCTCAATGGTGTTTTTTCGCGCAAGTCAGTTCGAATGAATGTTGTGGTTAGATAAGATGTCAAAATCGAGCAATCAGAGCGAACTTGGGCCGGCTGAGGTTCGGCTTACGTTCAGATATAAAGTTGGGTCGGCCCAGGGCCGGCCCTGGGTCCGCATTGCGGGAACTGAGCCGACTCAAATGTCGGATTAACTTTAGGCCGGCTTAACATTTATTGATTGTTCACACTTAAAAATTGCCGACCCTGGGCCGGCCCTGAGGCGGTCGTGGGCCGACGTAACTTTCAAGTGTGATTGGGCTCTAAGATACACATGATCTCCTCTATTTTCATAAACTTTATGATTTTCGGTTTAGCAGTTCCTGTAGCTCAACGGCTGAACAATGCAACAAGGTTGTTACATCAGCATATCAAACGATAGATAACGGTTTTCCTTCTAGTGAAACCTTACGTCCATCATACCTCTAACTTCTTAACCTACGGTATTGTTTTAAACTGTTACTGCGTGACATTGGTATCACAGCTTTTTTGTCTTGTAATAATTATGGCCTCCCTGGTGTATATAGGCCTAAGTTGACCATCAAATGTTGAGCATGTAAACTCCTAATTACAGAATAAACAGTAGTGTATATATATATAGACCTATATAGAGGCTGGGACACCTATTTTTCCACACATGACGACAAAAAAGAAGATGGAAAGGTGACATCACCACATATATGAAAACTGCAAACTGGGCAAGATAGCATCAGACAGAAGAAGATGGAAGATGTTAGAGGAGGGCTTCCCAAAGCAGTGGGTGAAATAGCCTGATGATGATGATAATAATGATGACGATGATAATATACACATAATTTTTTTCTCGACTTCGTTTTATCGCATGTTCACCACGATATACGAATCTAGGCGGTTGACGCAGAATCTGAATTTCTCCGTAGGCCAATAACAGTAGGCCAGGCACATAGATGTAGGGCCTACAAACGGAAAACTTCAAACTTCGGAGTATTCTATTTGCTTCGGCCGCGTACTGATTCGGAATTATTTACTAATAGGTAGAAATACCAAAATTGATGTTTTTACAGACGGGCGGAGACATGCCTAAAAACTCCATGTTGATAATTTTAGGTGAATGTTAGTTTATAAAACTTTAAATTGAATTATCATTATGCAGACACTATGGTGGTATGTCTAATATTGATAATATAGTGCACTTCAAAATTTCAACAGTCTCATAACTAAAAAAATAATCCTACCTTGTTTATGCTGCTTCTCCCGGTGGTGTCTAATTGATAATACCGCTTGCCGAAACCGTTCGGACAGTTTTCAGATACCACCGGAAATTACTGCTACGTCATGGCTTTGGTCATGCTCTGATGTAAGTACGCAAAAGTGTTTTTATATCTACCGCGCAATACACTAGTTTCCTATTTTCCGAGAGTGTAGTAGGGTTACCTGTTGCGCATGTTTAAATAATCATCTTCTACTAAAACACTTGAGACAATTGTAAAAATGTGTCAGGAATCCCTTGCACTGCAAACAATGCTAGAACCCTTCAGACTTTCGCGCCGTTTGTCATGGCGAAGGCCAGGATGAGAGATTAAAATAAAAAATTAAAAAAAGATCACAACTTAATGAATAATGATGATATTAGAAAGGGACTGTAATTGATCGGCAGCAACTTATGTCCAGCAGGAGTGGTTTGGCAGGTCACGCTCTTGCTTGTCCAATAGAGTTTTATTAGAAATAGTATCTAGAATATTAATATATCACTTTTTTTTTTTTTTTTTTTTTTTTTTTTTTTTTTAAAATTTTTATTTTTTTTTTTTTTTTATAAAAGTTACATTTTTTATAAAAGCAGTGTTCTTACGAAGCCGGATATATCGGTGTCACATTGTTATTCTTCCTCTCCCACCCCTGTGATACCGGCATTGCTTCCCAGAATAAAATGCACTAAAACCGGTTATATAGGCCTAAAGTTAATTATTGTAAGCCATTAAAACAATGTTACTGTAGTCCAGAGGGCGTATACTTGACGACTTGTGGAGGCGTTATAATTTGTTTTATGTTTGTCCTAATCAAGTAAGTACACCGGTGATATCGTAGTTATCGGAGACAAGCCCTTGATGTGGCTGACACCGACCGTATGAACGGGGTCACCTGATAGAAAACGAGCGCTTCACCCCGCAAGCTAACACCAACAAATGACCGGATTGGCAAGGCTCTCATCCGATAAACTGTTAATTGTTAATGATGATTTTCAATTTTTTTTAATGAAAAAACTAATAAGCATGAATAAAAATGTTTTTGTTATCAGTGTATCAGTCCAGTTACAAACAAGAATCTACAAATTATCGGTATTAGAACTGAGAAATCAGTTAAATTTGTACAAATAACTACAAAAATTAAATTTTCACCAATAGAGGGTAGCAGACAATGACATGTTTAATGGCGAATATCTCCGTTACTATTCATTTTTTTTATACCAGTGCATTATTTCCTTTCCAATGATACCAAATAATGACATGTTTGACTAGATGTGTCCGCCATCTTGTTTTTCAAGATGGCGGCCACTTCACCTCGAAAAAATTGGCACCAATATTTTTATTGTTCAGTATAAAATTCTGAGTCGGAAGAGCGTTGTTGCCATTAATTAACATGAATTGCGAACAACAAAAATACATAAGCCCCTGCACTAACATGTCGATTGCAATAACATCTGCAGCTTGACCACGGTATTGTTTTCGAGGCAATTCTACTAGACCTAGATGGTTCATAGTATCAACAAGCATCTTTAAAATTACCTTTTTGAGTTGTTTTTAACTTCATAATTGTCAAAATTAATCCAAATAAAACATTACAGGACAAATTTATATTATTACCGTTCGTTGTAAACTTCATATAAATGTTCATGTCTTTTTTGGGGAAGTTCATGTCTTTTTTTGGGGGGGGGGGGGGAAATCCGCAAAATACCGTGGTAGTTCGTTCGCTGTGTCTAATGATGAGCCTCGGTATTATGCCTATCACTAGCAGTGGGTCCGGACATTTCGATGGGTGATGATCTGCGACCTGTAGACCACACACAATAGGCCGTAATTGTAACATAAAGAGAACTGGTGAAGTTTTATTACTTCGTAATTTGCATAACAAATTATAAAAACATGAATGTAGGTAAGAATGGCCCCGGAAAAAATGGCCCAAATGAAAAGTAGGTAAAAATGGCCCTAATGAAAAAATTCAGTAATAGAAATGTAAAAGGCTCCGGCCTCCCTAACTATTGTGTGTGGGGTAGCGGTCGACACGTACAACGACAACAGGTAACTCGTCTTGATTTCATAACATTTATTCATCAAAGTGACGTAGCAAAATGAACCCGGTCAAAGAAAGTCTGGGTAACACCAAGCAGGCAAAGCAGCCTCTGTAAAAAGGGGTACAAATTCTCATAACTTGCCTCTAACAAAATAGAGTTACATAGAAAATAAGAGTTTTTTAAATCAAGGACAATATAATTAATGCTATTAATCATATTAAAATCAACCTAAATCTTGTGTTACAGTAAATCATCATAAAACATAGAAGCAAAGATATACAATTAACAATCAAACTAAAGTCAAGCCATGTTGTGTATC